GCTGGCTGGGGAATTCTGGGAGTTGAACTCCACACATCTTCAAGTGGTCAAGGTTGAGGAACACTGCTTTAGAACACAATTTAAACCTTACCCATAATTGTCTTCACCCCTGCAGGTCATGAATGGAAAGAACTCGGTGAAATGAGCAGTGCTTACTTTCCTTTTCTCAGCCGATCAATAGAAGATCATTTCCCACTGTCTCTCTCTCCCCTACCATTAGTCCTACAGTAGCAAGAATCTCCTCACCTCCACTCCACACAAAAGAGAACAAATTGATAACACACCTCATTCATGATTTTCAGTATATGTATTTTATTTGTATTTCAGGTCTTATGCCAGCAAAACAAAATCTGACGACCATTATGTTGGGGAGTTTGTGAGGGTTAGTATCTCAACAACCACGCTGAAATATTTCAAAGCCTTCCGTCAGTTGCATTTTAAAGACCTGTGAATTCTGAAGGTGATATGCTAGCATGTTGGCAGTTTTGCAACCAAGTGCTTTCCCTAATTAGATGGGACCATGGCTGCACCCTGCTACAGTGACTGGTTGAGGGGAAGTTCTAAATAAGCCATACAGGAAGAGATCAGATGCTACACTCTCTGGAGAATGGGGGAGAAACAGAATAATGCCTGGATTGAGATCAGGAACAGGAATATGGCAAGACTTTCCACCAAGGGAAATGGTATCATTAAGATCCACAGAACCCCAGTGATTCAGGGGAAACTAGCTTTGCTGTGATTACAAATACATTCAAGCAGAGTCACCAACAAACTCAACATCCCAAAACAGGCAACATGAGATCAAACAGATCTGCAGTAGACCCTGAAGTGGTACAAAGCTCTGGTGTAAAAGTCCCCGGGGAGGTCAGCAGGGTACAATTCTCACTTGCTAAAACTCTTTCTGCTGACACAGCAGGAAACATTTCAGGACTGATCTGAAAAGACTGCTTCAAAACCTTGGATTAGCGAATCTCTGCTTCTGTTTGTTTGATCAGTGGATGAGAAAATGATATTCCTTTTATTCCTTTTGTTTTTCACTGGTCTAGTGATCTACTGGTATGAAAGGCCAAACTTTTTTTTTTTAAAGGTTCAGCAGTGCAAGGACCTCCCCCCCGCCCCCCCCCCGTGAAATTGACAAGAGTTTTGCCTGGTTCCCTTTTTAGCCCAAGTTACAGGAATAACTAACGAATTGGTGCTTTCCCCCACCCTCCTCAAAAGGAAAGTTGAGAGGCCTATAGGAGCAGGGAAGTCTACCAATTAGGGGCTGTGTCAACCGCTATTCGGACGGCACATCTGGCCATCACCATAGCCCAGCTGGAGGAAGGGGCTGAAATCTGGAGAAAGGCTTCTAAAATTGGCTTCACTTCCAGCACGAGGGACAAGGAGCTGCAGGCTGCTACGTGGAAGAGCTCTCAACGCTTCGCCCTCTTGCTCGCCCCGATGAGAAGAGGAGACCGGATCGAAGTCGGGGTGAAGCGCAGCAACACCCTTGCTGGCTGCTTACTCTGCCCCGTCCCGCCGCCGCCGCCGCCAACTCCTTCCTGCCAACTAGAGGCTCAGCGAGACTCTCAGGCTGGCGGCCCATTTCTCCGCACGGCAGCCCCGAAACCCCCCGGCAGCGGCCGATCCTTCCTTTGTGCTCCGCCTCGCCC